AATGGAATATACTTGGAAAAAAAAATCCGAGTTGATTTCCTAATAAATAAAGAGACCAGTGAGGCTTCTATCTGTAGTTTTTAAATTATGATGTCATGGATTTAACAGGGATGTGTTATATTTCAGGCATTATTCTTTTGATACCTCAGTTTTCCCATTTTCAGCCAACGTGAATATACTCCAGTTGGTTCCTGAAAACTTTCGACTTGATCTCAGTAATTATAACAGCTTCCTTGTTTTCTGTTATGATACCGTGTTCCAGGGGCATCTTATATAATTCCTTCCCTAGGCTTGGAATAAGTCATTTTTTCAAGGAGCATGGATGTCTTTTAGTAGAAAATGGTATTAGGTACTACAAATGGTGTACATGGGGGTGGGGGACACTGACTTTTAATAGATTAGTCATTATGTCTAAGCTATCAGCGTGTAGAACTGAAAAAATTGCATATTTTATGGAAAATACAAAATAAAACAAATCACAGTACAGCTCCCAATTCAAATGGAGAACCACCAGGTTTTTTACTTACCCTCTGATTTTAAATATGTATCACTTTGCCTCAATGCTTTCCCAACACCACCAGCATAATCATTCATTTGCTTCATGCAACAGTATATACACAACATTCTCAGAATAGCAACGTCAATACTAGCATCAACAATGTGATTAGTGAAGGCAGTGCAGGCAGTTTTTTGCAATTATTTTTGTCTTTATGAGATATCCCACTGGAGAGGATAAGCCAGAATTATCTGTTTTAAAATAAATTGAAATAATGCAACTCTGAGTAGGTATATTTGCTTCTTTCTCTCCATCCTGATTTTCTGTCCCTAGAGGAAGTATTCCTCCTTCTAGATAAACGCTAGTGTGCTGCACACTCGTCTCTGCTTGGCTTGTTCTCATATAGTATGTCCATGGTGATCACTCCATGCTGGTACATAAAGGTACCCCTCTTTACTTGAATGACTGCTCAGCACCTCATTGTATAGATAGCCCATAGCTTAGTAAGGTAGCTTCCCCTTGATGGACATTTGGGCTGTTTTGTGGCTTGTGGTGATAAATAATACTGGAATAAAAAGCTTTGTGTATGTACCTTTGGTAATTCTGGCCATGGCCATTTTAGGCTAGGAAACTAAAAGTATGATTTCAGGGTCAAATGGTACATTTCATTTTTGCTGTTTTGTTCACATGGTAATTTTTCACCTAGACTGTTTCTCCAGGTCCCAGAGGTCTGACTCCGGCCTCCATATTCATGCCAGGATTTTCAATCTAAAATGCAAATCAGGTCATTTCTCCCCTTTGCTTATGGACTTCCATGATTTCTGCATCTCGAGGACATGGAGATGGACCTGTTGGGTGAGTCAGTTTGTAGCCATCCCTTCATTGCTTTGCTTTCTGGCCTCATTTCCAGCACATCCCCCAAAGCAACCCATCCAGTCATGGTGAACTTTCAGAAGTTGCCAAAAAGACATATGTCCTCTCATGTGTTGCACATAATTTTTTCTCCACCTGATAATCTCTCCACATCCATAAACATTCTGTTCAACTTCTCTGTCTCTGTGAGTTCTTCCTAATTTTCTCTCACATCAGAATTAGCCTTCCTATTTTTCACACATGGAATTTAGTGCCTCCCTCTGTTGGAATCTTGATCACATTTTTTAGCAACTCCTTATGAATTAGAATTTTCTATCATGTGCCAAAACTGTGCTGAAAGTTTACGTAGACTCTTTCCAAACAGCAAGGCTAAGTACGTGTCCAGGGTAATGCAGCCAGAAAGCGAAGGGCTTATCATCTAAAGCCCGAGGCTTTTTAAAAGTACACTGCACTGCTTTTCTAAGTATTTTGGATTCTTCCAGTTTACTTTTCTGCTTCCAGACCTCTCATTGCACCTGAAGCTCATCAGCTCCGCAGATTTTAATAGCGACAGCATAGTCTCTGAAATCAGCCAGGCGTGAGTTTTAGCCCTAACTCTGGCTTTAACATTTACTAGGACTACAACCTTGAGTAAGAATTTAACCTTTAGATGAGTTTCTTGATGTATCACAAATGTTCTGTAGATCCGGTGAGGTCTACATAGGGCTTCTGCACCACTCCAGCTCCTTGGTGGGGAATCTTCTGGTGTGTGCAGGGATTTTGCTTTGCTCACTTTTATTTCTCCAGCCCTTAGACAATAAACACATGGCAGGTTCTCATTATGTAATTATTTGAGTGTGCATCGTCCATTGAAAAGCTCATTCCCAAGCAAACTTGCTCCTCCCAGGTTCCCTTCCCCAGCTGAAGGCATTACCGACCTTCAGAAGACTGCAGCTGCTTTTTAGAGCAGTCAGGCGTCGAACTCGGGGGATATCCTTGACCTGAAGTATGAGGCACACTCTCCATGCCTCCCCAGCAGCTGGAGAGTCTGCCCTGTCAGCTTTGGCCCAGCAGTGCTCTTTCCCTTGCTCCTCCTCCTCTCTCTTCTGTATGATCCACTGCAATCCGGCTCCATCTCACCTGACTTTCTGAAAGGCCAGTCTTTAGCCTCAGCCCCTGCTTTTCCTGGTCCACAGCGACAAACCAGCCCCTGACTCCCACTCCCCAGAATGTGTCCTTTCTAAAAGTGTCATATCTGATGATACTATTACAGATTATACATCAGTCATGAGTTTAAAAAAAACCACCATGATTGTGTGTGTGTGTGTGTTTACTCGATATCCCAAGCACTTAAATTGATATGCCCCAACCTGACTTCTGTTCTTATCCACCTCTCCACTCCCAAGTTTGTGCCTCCAAACAGCTCAGCAATGTGTGCTTTATACTGCAGACTCTTGGACACCATTTTTTCTACCTACTAAACTATATCTATCTGTATATATCTCTTCTCATTGAAAAAGCCCCACAAAGCCCCCTTTGTTCCTTGATTCATTGACTCTCTGTGGCCATATTATGACACAGTGTGTGAGGGTTTTGAGTAGAAGGTTATGACTTACTCATCTGGGGATTCCCCACAGCACCAGGGTGTTTCCCAAAGCAGAACTGAGTTGACTTCGAAGGGTTAGAGATTTGGGAAGTGGTGAGGAATCTTAGAGATCTTCTGATACGATACCTTCATTTAATGTATGAGTAAATTGCAGCTCAGAAAACTGTGAAAATATTTACTTAAAATAGCCCAAAAGCAATAAAATCGAGTGTGTGTGTATGTGTGTGTGGTTTTTGGTTTTCTCAGCTAGTAATAACCTTTTAAATTTTTCATTCTGATGTAGCTGGATCTTTTACCTCTGCCTTTACAAATGCTCCAAAGAAAGGCTCTGGTAATTCTTCCCTCTAATAGGAGGTATAACTCGAGTCATAATTATGAAATGGTTAAGAGGACCAGACACTCAGGACTAAAAGTGAAAGTGCCAGCCCTACCATTATTAGACACATTTTTATTTTTATTTAAAAAAAATTTTTTTTTAGAAGGAGCAAGAGTTGGGAGGTGGGGGGTGGCAGAGGGAGAGAGAGGGAGAGAGAGAGTCTGAAGCAGGCTCCATGATAAAGACCTGAGATCATGACCTGAGCTGACATTGAGTTGGATGCTCGACCAACTGAGCCATCCAGGCGCTCCAGCCACACTTTTATTCGTGACTGTTTTGTCTTCAGCGTTCTCGATTATCATCTCTGTTATTTATGATACACATAATCTGCTACAACCCCACTTGCCTTCCTTGGTAACCAACTCCAAACGCTTTCCCTCTTGGAACATCTTAAAGACAGGTATGACAGGAGGAAATATCTAGAGGTGTTTATGTAGAGGGATAGAGGTATACAGAGAAAGATCATTCAGATTTAGAAAATAAAATGGGGGCTTTCATTAACTGGACAAAATAGAAACTAAAAAAATACCCAGATTCCTATCTCAGAAAAATACATTTAAGTTATCACCTGTGGTTCTGTTAGCCAAGGTGTCATCATGGTGGTGAGATGAACCCGAAAACTTCTCCTGCATCTAAACTGAGGGTGGCATTACCTCACAGGCGAGCTCAAGTCTTTCAGTTTTGAGAGTAAAAGTTGCTAATTCTCTCTGTGCATCAAGCAGAGCTTCCCTTGTTGCCCAATTAGGTGATGAGTTTCATGATTTGGTGGGTTTTGAAATTTTAATTTAACTTAAATTCAGCTTGAATTTTATGTGGCCTATTTATTGTCTTATAAGAGAAACGGAATGATATTATCTACACCCTTGGTTTTTGCACTGACAGAAAAGACAAAAAGAAAAACATTTCAACTCCCACTTGACTCCCAAGACCAAAGTCGTCTACACCATAATGACAAATGTATGATACGTGTAATCCAATTCCTCACAATTACGTTGTTTTTTGTCAGAACGCTCTGTGGTGCAATGTCACAGCAAAGTGGGTAAGTACCAACAACCACAAAAAGATGTGACATTAAAAGCAAAACTCAACTTAAAAAGAAAACACTCTGGAGAAAAGCACTCTGAAGTTTTAGCAGGGATGATGAAATGTCATTTACAAATTACAAATACAGGTAATTGGTGATATGTTGTATAAGGAGGCCTGAAGGGGTAAGGGTAGTGCGTATGTCAAAAACACGTCTAACCAGGTGAGGCCCTCGTAAGAATTCCACTTAACCTAAGCCATTCTGCTCTTTTCCCAAATGTTGCACTGCATGAACATGGACACTTGCTATATTCTTTTGAAAATGTAATGGGAAACTCAACTTCAGTTTCCTTAACCTTCAAGGAGAATCTTTACCTGTAATGGCTGTTCAGAAGCTTAATGAACTCATCTGACCCAGCTTTCCAGGCCCTCAAACGGTAGCATCCAACCAATAGCATCCAAAGAACTGTAAAGATTTAAACAAGCTTTCTCTCACCGTTTAATGCATTAGTGGATTGCATTTACTGTGGACAGCAGGAGACCTCAGACCACAGAGAGGAAATCAGAAACCTCTCTCTCCCGCTGCCAGAGTCACTTTCTGGGGGTTCGCACAGACTCCATCCATCTGCTGAAATGACCTCGCCACGGTGCCCCTGGAGGGACACACCGGAGCCTGGACACTTGCTAGGATAATCCGCGTTCTTCTTTCCAGTCCACACAACCATGGACACCATCAAGGCAGCGCTGAAGTCTTCAGGGGGGTGAAATGGAGACGGGAGAATATTCCAGAGCCCCAGCGAAGAAAAGATGTGCCTGAAAAATACTCCCTTTTCTCGCAGCTCTTGTGCCCACTGCCCCAAGCACTGCTTGTTCTCCTGCTTGTTCTCCTTCGTCAGCCCCTGAACGTGTCAGGTCATTCTCCGGAAGTGGGCCACAGCACAGAGGGAAAGTGTCCCCCAGAATGGGCTGCTAGAAAGAAAGGAGGCTTCAGTCGCTCTCCCCGCTTTGCACTCCACGCAGTTCTTACTCCTAGTCCTGCCTCATGCCTTTCAAACAACGTACTGGACCCCCCACTCCCCCCACCCCCTACCCCCCACCCCCGAGTTCTCATTTCTCAGGCTCTTCCCCATCCCGCTCATTACCCTCAACTTTGCTATTTAAATGAACTTTTCGGTGCTCCCTCTTTTTCCAAGGATGTTACCTCTGCCCTGGGTCTCTTCCCCTGCCTTCCCTCCTCCAATTCTCTCCTCCTTGGTGCCGGCCTTTTAAACCTGCTGGGGCTGCCCTTTGCCTTCTTGTCTCCTCCTCTCCCTCTCCGGGCCCCTTCACCTCGTCCATTCCTGTCTCAGGCTCTCCAGATTCCCGGGCTGTTTGCTGGTGAGAAATCTTTGCTGCAGCGAGGACCGGAGTCCCCCGCGCGCAGCCCAGTGGCAGAAGAGGGCGAGGCTGGGAGAAGGGCAAGGGCTGTCGGGGAGCGAGGCAGCCGGTCCTCCCCGCAAGCCTGCAAGAATGCGGCAGGGGGCCGGGGGCCTGGGGAGCCACTAACTCCCCGAGCCCCTGATCCGGGCTTGCGCACCCCGCCCGCGGGGCCGATTTCCTGCCCAGTGCGGCGGAGACACCGAGGCGCCGGGAGAAGCGGAGAAAGGGGCGCAGGGGGTGCCCATCACCGGAGTAGGTCCCTCCGCGAGCCGGGGGAGAACAGAGGAGGGAGTGGGCGAGTGGTGAGCAGGGAAAGCCCGGCTCCAGCCCGGCCGCGGAGCGTGGGGCGCGCGGGGAGCGCCGGCGGGGTGCAGCCGGCCGAGCGGGGGGCGAGGGGCGCGCGAAGGTAGCGCGGCGCTCGGGGAGGGGCGCGCGGGTGCGGGCGTGCGGGCCGGGCGCGCGTGCGGCGGCCGCGGCGCAGTGTCGGTGTGTGTGCGCGAAGGCGAGCCGCGGGCCGGGCGAGGGAGGCGAGGACAGGGCGCATGTCTCGTCCCGGCGAGCAGCCACTAGACGCGCCACCACCATCTTCTGCATGTGCAACATTTGCAGCCGGACAGGAAACCGCTCTCAGGGCTATGGAGACTGCGGGAAAAAGCCGGCAGCTCGCGATGGATTGCTGAAGGGGAGCAGTCATAATCGCCAACCACCCACATCTCTCTCCTGTCCTTTTTTTTCTTTCTTCTTTTTTTTTTTTTTTTTTGGTTTTTAATTTTAGCGCCATCGTCGTCAATGCCTCTCTGAACAGCCTTTCGCAAGAGTGTGAGAGAAAGAGCGCGCGCCAGGGAGAGGAGAAAAGAAGATGAGGATTATTTGCAGACAGATTGTCTTGTTGTTTTCTGGATTTTGGGGACTCGCCATGGGAGCCTTTCCGAGCAGCGTGCAGATAGGTAAGCTCTGCCCGGTGCGGTGTGCATGTGGGTGTCTGGGGCAGGTACCCGAAAGTGAGTTAAATGAGTTGCCGGTGAGCAATTCGGGGAGACCTTCGGCGGCTCCCTTTACCTCTGCCTCTCCCTTCCCGTCGCCCCTGTGCACAAGACTGCCTCTTTGGGCGCTGGTTCAGTTGGAATATGCACACCCTGCCCACCCGTTCCTTCTCCTCGCCCAAGCTCCCACTGCCACCTTGGGTTCAAGTCGCTTAGGTGGGGTTGGAATAAGTTGGGAAAAAAAAACCACAAAACAAAAAACCTCCGTGGGGTTCGATTATATTGAATGTGCTATCTCTTCTCCCTGGAGCATGAAGGGATGTCGGGTTTGTTGGGGTTTTTAAAATTATTATTCTGTATTTTCAACACACTTCTTCCCATGCTGAGCTTCTCCGCTTTCTGCTCATTCCAGAAAGACACTGTTCGGGCAAAAAGCATTTCCACCCGCACCCCCCTGTCTTTGCTCGCTGTTGGTTAACCGATTCCAAAGTTAGATCCCTTTTCCGTGAAACGTTCTCTCCTTTTATTTTGTTTTCCTCTTGAGTCTCTTGCTCCTGTTCCTCCCGCTGGACTCCGCTGCCAGCGACCCTACCCATCGGTGGCTTTCCTTGCTGATCTCCTCTCCTGTCTTTTTACGGGACGCAGCTATTGGATTTCTTCCAGCCAGGCTCAGCCTCAACACTGCATCATTTCTTGTGGACTGTGCAACAAAACAGGGCTAATTAGGCTGAGTCCAGGAACCGCAGGAAAACAAAGTTCATGTCTCCTCTCCCATTCGTGTCACCACATCCCTTGATTTCTGCATTTTAATGCAAACCCTCTGTTCTGTTCATCTGCATGCCTCTTAGACAGAAATGCCCTCAGCTTGGCTGATGGAGCAGTGTGCTGGGAATCATGAGGAGGGCAAGAGGGAGGAAGGAAAACACGCTCAATGGTATCAGAGGTCATTGTGATCATGACAGATTGGGACAGTAAAGCACTGAGCTGTCCTAAAGACTAAAATACTAAGCATACACCTTAGGGACAAAGGGCGGTCCCAAGACGTGGCAGGGAGAGCTTCCTAATCCTGTGTGTTGCCGAATGCCGGGTGGATTTGACAGTGCTGGGGGGTGGCTATTGCATTTCCAAGAGGAAACACCAAATATGCTTTTCCTGCTGTTTTTAATAGGTGGTCTCTTCATCCGAAACACAGACCAGGAATACACGGCTTTTCGATTAGCAATTTTCCTTCATAACACCAGCCCCAATGCGTCGGAAGCTCCTTTTAATTTGGTACCTCATGTGGACAACATTGAGACAGCCAACAGTTTTGCTGTGACAAATGCTTGTAAGTAAAACAAGTTCTGGCTAAATTAGAAGAGAATTAAAATGAAGCAATAGAGTTCCCCTCCTCTCCTTTATTATATTATTTTAAAAATGGTTTTTGAAAGAAATGCAAGATTCCCACAGTTGACTGGTTCCAGAACAAGTCAGAGTTTAAAAAAAAAAAAAAAAGGTGTGAGTGTGTGTGTGTATGAATGATTTAGTCTCGGGGATATTCAGCGGTCTTTCTCCCTTCTCTTCTTCCTTCCTTATTTATTTATTTATTTTCATTCTTGTCTGGATAATTCAAGTTGATTTCTCCTGCCACATTTCAGTGGTATTCCTGTTACCTGAATGTCAAGTTAGTGATAATTGAACTCCATCTAGTTTTTTATTCTGTTCCTTTGTGTCTTCGTATTTACTTCTCCCTTGAGGAAGCCTGTGCCTTGCCTTTAAGGAAGAAACATGCTCTCCTGCCCTGGGGAGGGCGAAGGAAGCCTTGCTGAGAGTGAGGCAGAGGGGAGCGCTGGTGTGGAGGATAGATACTCCGGTCGGTTGGTTGACGCTGCAGATGATCTGGTGATGTCACTTGAGGCTGCCCTGCTCTTATATTCTGGGTTGTAAATGTCTCTTACTATCACGTAATGCATCTGTCCTGTGGCTAGAGCTCCATGAATCCTTACCTTGGTGCCAAATCATGTTAGTCCACAAGCCACCTGAATTCAGGAAACAACCCAGCTTGCTCTCTCATCCCGCTCGGTGGACTGAGCCAGTGACCTCACCTCATGCTGTAATACAGAGACCGTGGCACTGTGCTCCCTCACCAAAATACAGTCTAACTTTGTGTAAAAAAATATAATCAATGATATATTTACTTGAAACTCTCTAAAATGTAATCAATCAGTAGAGTATTCACATAGCGTTTTCATTCTGAAAACACATTTCAAATATCTCCTCAGCTTGACATGCTAATTTACTACTGTTCAGAAATTTTTGTGTTAAGATAATGTCTCTAGATTATGTAAAATGCGTAGGGATAGATTCTATATAAAATTTTGCATTGCAGTAATACAGTGTTTCATTTGATTTGTATTTTTGTGATACCAAGTAGAGTCCATTTTGATTTTAAAAGTCCTGTCAGCACAAGAAAGTATACTGAACAAGTCAGTCATATAGAAAATGGAGTTTTTAAATATTTGGAGGATATCTGTTTCATTGATTTAATTATTTTAATTCATATTTATTTGCCATTAACTCGCCTAACAGATACCATGATCGCTTTCCGTAAATTTTTGGCACCCAACTCTTACTTGATTTTAGAACTTGGTTTCCTAAGGAGGTCCAAGCATTTGACATTTTGTAAACTGCTGCAGTAATGTTACTTTGCAGAAATTCTATAGTTGCTCTGAACACTATTTAATTCGGAAAGATCATTTGTTGTGTTTAGTGAGAAAATCTACATTATAGCAGGAGGGAATCACCGTTCAGCAGAAACATACATGAATTAGAGCTGTCTTTGGGATAGTTATTTTTGTGGGTTTTATCAGATATTAGTTCTCTGTTTCAAGTTTTGAAAGGGATGTCAACATTGCAAGTAGTTTTAGATATAAAGTATTCTGCTTAGTACCTGAATATATTTATTTTTTAAGTAGTTTTTTTTATCTCTCCTGAGAGTCTATCAACAAAACACTAAGTTTAAAAATAACTCAGGATCCAAATATATGTGATGGTACTTCGTCAGCAGTAAATTACTATTTAAATATTAATCTTTATTACTAAATTTTGGAAAGACTTTCTTAAAAGTGGCACGTATATTACTTTTATGTTATCTTGGTTTTACAAATTAAGTTCTTAAGTATTCTACAGTTTATATTGTGATTTCCATCTATAGAAACTATAAAACACTGATCTTTTCTTTCTCCATATCATTTGTTAATCTCCTTCAGGATAATGTTAATGGCATTATTTTATTTATGTTTTGAAAATATTATATAAAGTGTTAGTGGTAAAGCACACATGGGAAATTGAGATGAAGCTGCACACAAATGAAAAAGTAGAAGATATAAAAATAAAAATATGTTATTCTTTAACGTGTTGGGATTGAGAAAGTTGAAACTAGGTAAACTTTGAGACTACTGATTTTGAATCCAGGTGTAGTACAATGTTAACGATATCATATTTTTCCATAATCACAAGTAATTGATTTTGTGTATCCTTAAAATATTAAAAAAAATAAATTGTAAATGAGGAAAAAACATTTTCTAGTGAAGAAAGGATTTTTTCTTTTTTTTTTTTTGACACATGAGTGTGCCAAATGTCCTCAAGGCAAATCTTAGTAGAACTTGGGGGAAAAAATTCAGTTGTCAGAGAGCGTGGGTCAAGGGATTGGTGTTTTTTAAGTGGACTGACTGGGAGCATATACATGTACGATTTTCCAGTCTGATTAGAGGTGAAATGTAAGCACTAAGTATGAGGCAGACTCATCTATCAAGTTCTTTGCCTTTGGGTACAAAAGGATAAAAATAGTATTCTGGAAGATTAATATGGAACTCATTCCTTAGAGTGATACAGACTGGATTTTTAAATTTTTCATGTTAGATTAAATATAAAGATATAATATATGACTGGCTAGATTTACTTTAATTGTGATTTACCTGCAGCGGGTTCTTGTCAAACCGTGGGATCCGGTCTGTCTGTGAATAAGGGCCATTAAAAGGCTGTGTATACTCACAAGACAGAAAAGCAGATTAAAGAAGGAAGAGTGTTGGTCATCTGCTAGACAGATATAATTTTCTGCTGCTGCTTCTACCTCAGAATTAATTTAGCACTCTAAGAATACTTTGGACAATCTGAACATTCTGTGTTCACTTTGCATACTATGTAAGTCTAGACCTGATTAACTCGAATGTACCACTTTGGGTATAAATCCCAACTTCCTGAGGGAGGACAGGTAATTTTGGCTTATGTTTTATTTTGTCTTTAATAATATTTGATAATAATCAATATTAATCATTAATTAATATTAATACTGCTTTCCTTTTAAACTGTTCACATCATTGGAAAGTCACATGACTCAACATAAAACTGAATTTATAAGAAATACAGATAATATAAAATTATGACCTATTACAATAACAATAAATAATAGATGTAATAAATAGCCCAAGTATTCAAATTTCACTATCATTTTGTCCTCTAGATCACTAATTCTATCTTCTCTCTCAGTTACCCTAGCTGCTAGAGAATTTAGATTAGATTGGAATTCATTGAGAGCATTTTTAACATCTTCACTGGTGGCTTTCACTTCTTCCCGAATCGATTCCATTTTGTCATTCAAATTTCAAAATCTAATTGAAAGTATACCTTCCTTTGTTGTGGTTCATCTGAAGTATAAGGTATAGCAAAATGAATATTTGATAAATAAATTCAATATGGCAGTGCTTTTTTAAGAAAGTGCCTTACAGTTGACCCAAATTAGCTATCCTTACAAACAGACATGCTATTTAAATTGGATATGTCCTTTGCAAAACACTTGAGACAATCTCAAAGCATGTTGTTTTCTTGTATTTTCAGTAGTTAATGAATGGAAGTATTTTGTTTTGGAGGATGTTGTATATTAAATCCGACCATAAGCAATAACCAAAACACTAAAGTAGTCTATCACCAGATGTTTTCAAAGATAAAAATATTGGCGCCATAACAATTATTAGTTTAGTCCAGTTGCATCAGAAATCCTTCCTTCGGTAAGACAGCACCTTTGCAATGTAATCCACAAATACTCAGTTTCTGAAATGATTCGTAAGTTTCAGATGGGCAATAGGAAATGCATAATAAAACAGATCAAGTACTGTATTATAACTTCGGTGAAATAATAAAAGAATCTTATGACATATTTTCAACTTTTTTAACTTGGAAGAACCATTCGGTTAATACTTTTTTTTTTTAAATGATGTTTTAATCTTACTCTCCTTTCTCTGTCTAAAGTCTATCTATTTAGAGGTTTAAAAAATAGTGGATTTTAAAATTGTAATAATCCCAAATAGAATGGGTATTACACCCTCATCATGGTGAAAAAGTTATTCTTTTTAGAGTTAAATAATAGTTCTGTTTGTGGCCAGTTTCTTTGTCAGCTCTAAATATCCAGGATGAGTGCTACTTGTAAAGGTAGGTTGGTCTGTAAAATATACGTGTTCAGTTAATCTAAATATGTTGAAAATGGGACACTATATCCGGTAGGCTCTACAGGCATTTCCACTTATGCAGTAGGTACTTGATAAAAATTTATTGAATATAAATGATACTTTCTCTTCACTCTAATTCAACAGCGTTTAAATAATTGTACAGTTTTCCATTTGAGGGGCGTGAAGCCCTGAAAAGACATTCTAAGAATTTACAATGGGCTGATATAATAATCTTAAACATGCTAAAAGTAAAATTCTGCTAGTTTGACTTGCAGAGTTGTTGACAGAGAATATAATTATTAAATATTGTTTGACTTTGGATTATTTCTTATGGAAATGAATGAAGTGAACTTACATGACTGTCTTTAAGTTTATTTTGAATTGATAGCAAAATTCTATGTTGATTTGAAATAATTCTATGATGATCTGTCTTTCTTCCTCTTAATTTTCTATCATGAGATTATAGACAAAGATGAGTCCTATTCCTATAGTTTGTCCCCTTCTTAAGGGATAAGAAAGTACATAATTTGCATTGCTGTATTTCAAAATTTTCACAGGATTAAGCTTTCATAAAATTATTAGAAAAAGTCCATAAACTTTATTTCTACCAGATTATTCCAAGTGCTGTTTATTTCCTGAAGAGGAATTTTTTTTATTTTGTGGCATTAGGAGATACTTAGAGATCTTATTTACAGAATTTTTTTATTGTTCAGGAATTTAAAATGAAGAATAAATACGGCATGCCTTACATTTTATGGTGACACATACTTTTTAAACTTTCATATATATGATTTTATTTGACCTCAAACGAGTATGAGAAGGAGACACTCTGTGAAGTGTATTGCGAATAAAGAGTATACATCATTATTTTGGTAGTTAAGCTAGCTTTAGCTCAAAG